CATATCTGCGGGAGTTTCAGCGAAAGCGTTTCTTATGCGTTCTACCATGTTTTCACGAGTTGTTGGCACTTGTTGATAAACCTTATCTTTTAGGTAACCCCACAGAAAGAAATCCGGCGATGTCAAATCAGGCAACCTAGCAGGCCAATTAATCAGGTCACCTCTGCCAATCCACCGACCATTGTAATCACCGCATTGCACTGCCTTTTATAATAAGCCGTAGTTCGCCATATACCCACAGTGGCGCGTCGAGCAGTTCCCTCTTCGATTCGGGTTCCTATTTGAGATTTGAACGTTACCACCCACCCTACTCCGAGAGGATGAGGGGGAATAACTTTTATTATGTTCTTTAAAAATATTGAACTGGCATTTTTTATTTCTCAATCCAATGATCATTTCTGGAGAATTGCGGAAAATATAATTTTTTGCGATTACAGCGCCATCTATCACGAATCAAAAAAAAATTTCGAACAAAATTTACGTATTTTGTGGCGTGGAATCCGTATCTGCAATAAAAAATGGGGGTTTCCATTTAAGATTTCAAAGTTGCCCCCAACCCCCATCCCCAGGGGGTGGGGTGGGAGGTCGAGTTTGGTATCATTGGATGTCCCCCTTCGAGACTAACAACTTTCATTAACCACTTTTTTTTATCCAATGCATAGTTCTCGAGATATTTCAATGTCTTCAGATAAATCGTGCACCCTGTATTTTGAATGCTGGCAATGAATATTTGTATCTTCATAGTGTTACGTTCTGGAGGAGGAACGCAACTTGACGCTTGCTTTCGCAAGCTCCGACGTACTCGCAAATCTGTGGAACAGATCAAGGATCGGAATGACCCCTTTATCTGGCGCAGACGTACGTTGGTGGTCCTTTATTTAGGTCAAGGAACTGAATCCTTTTACCTGGGATAGGATCGTAAGCGACAGTTGAGGGAAGGGAGAATTTTTGGTTGAGAATAATTATTTGGAAAACGTGATTGGTTTACAATTACAAACACCTTGTTTTATTAGTGATTAGACGGAAGTTCACAATGAAATAAAATTTGTAAGATTTTATAATGTGTCCGTATACATATGTGGTTAACAATCGCGCTCAGAACAATGATTCTCGATTACTCAGAACAATATTCCGTGTTCGTTATGTCCGACTGTGATCGAAAGGATTGGGCCACTGACACCGGATTTTATTATTAAGGAGGAATGCCAAGGGGGATAGAAAACGGAAGTAAAACGAAAGGAAAAGAAAAGAGAGAGAAGAAAATATGAAAAAATGAAACGAAAGAGGTCACTCGGGTAAAAGAAAATATAAATAACTTACTGCTGGACTTCTCTGATCTTAGTAGACAATGAAAGGTGTGGTTACTGCGTCTCTGTGAGGATAGATGCCTCAAGTTCTGCGCCAAGGACAAGCAGCTGGTTTCGGCAGGATCGCTCTCAATGGCCCAAGAAGGCACAAGATCGTTGCACCGAATAATTAACAAGTGAAGAATACTGGTCGGTCTAAGCCACAAGTTGGCTTGATTGTTAAGAAACCCTGAAGGGGTGTTGGAAAGAAACGTCTATCCTGGGTGCTGGATCGGCGAGAAGTGAGTGAGGCTTTTGTCTTTTCTCAAAAAGTCAGCTCGGTTGAGAGAGTGGGGTTTTGGGGGAAATGTTCCAGAAGATTATTTTATAGGAGATAAGATGCATGTGGCAATAAGAGGATTTCGAAAGTCTTATAAATAAAAAAAAACGTGGCAGCTGTCCTAAGAAATAAATATCGATATTTCTAAGAACGATGTCGTGGTATTGTTATCAATGATTAAGCGCGTGGGAAACAGGATAGGAGTTGGTTCAAGATTGTTAGTATTTTCGGGATATCGAAAATTCCAGAGATATCGTCGTGTGGTATCATGCCTAAGCGCATTCGGCCATATGATAAGTAATAAATTCGATTTCCCTTATTTATAAAAGAAGCCTAGGGTCCGCTGAGTCAGCAGAACGTAACAATAGGAACACTATTATAATATGCATATAATAGCACATTCATATTTATGCTAAAAGATGTATAAAATTATTAATAGAATAATTTGAGATATAACTATACCTGTATTTATATGGATAAATATGTTGATGATAGAGTGGAAAGCATATGACAAAAAAAAAGCATTACGAAAAATAACATGGTTGAAAGTCGTTCTATATTTTATTTCTATTTCCTTTGTTAACTGCATCATTAAAAGGAATATTTTTTTAAATCAGTTGTACTTCTATTGCAGATAATATTCTATTAATAATATATAGTTGTATTTAATATCATTAATATGATCAATCCCAGATAGCCAAACCTGCGCGGGCAGATTTAGAACAAAGCCTGCTATCACAGTTTGATGGCAAATAAGCAACAAATTTAACGCAGAATCTGTTATATCAAATTATGCCGCCAATCTGCGGTCAAATATGCGCCAAATCCTGCTGTCGGATATTTGATGGCAGATTTGTAGCAAAAACCGCGCAAGACTTGCAGTAATTTGACGGCAGATTGGCGGCAGAAACCGAGCAAACTCTGCGCGCAGACTCTACGCATAGTTTGGCAGCAGGACTTGCGTGGTTTCTGCCGACAATCTGCTCGCACGGCCTGTCACACAAAACACCTGTCGACAAAACACGAGCCTAATGAGGACACAGATGGCTATGATTTTGATGTGGAGATCTGATCGAAATTGGCGTCAATCTGCGCGCATTCTGCTAGCATTTTGCTTACTGGGATACTATCAAAACACAACTTTCTACATTACTTTTTTGTTCAATATATTTATTGATATATTTATTAATTAATATATGTAATATGTTCAATCGTACATTTTTATATTACAGGAGCTGTTCGTAAAGTTTATAAACAAATAACCGATACAGAAATTGCTTCATCGATATCAAAATGGCTTGTTCAAGCAACATTAAGAATTCAAAGAGATAAGTATGTTCATTGCCTGCGTTCAGCAGAGAAAGCAGCTTTGCAACTGTTGTACAATTCGTTAATTGTACAACTGATTGGTACATGCTCTTGGCTTGAACGAAAATTAAGCATATCCCAATCAGATTCACGAATTTTACAACAGTTGCAAAGCAGCTTTCTTTGCTGAACGCAACCATTGTTATTATATATATTTACTTTTAATACTTATATTATATACTCTTATGTTTTATAGCAGAGCTCGGAAAGTGATACATTTATTGGCCGATTTTCGGAAAATTCAGCCTTATATTCTATCCCTTGTTGCCTTGAACGTAGCTAACAAGTCACTCGAAAATAGTTTCAAAATAGTCTCAGGAGGACCTTATTTTGCATATGGATATTCTTATTTTTCTACAAGTCTTTATCTTCCTTCTTTAAATAATATACGAAGACCATGTTTCTGGGACTAAAGCGATTCGTTAGTTGTACAAACCAAGAGGATAAATAAAATAAAACCTTATACAACTTAAACAGAAAGTGTATCGCTTGCAGAACTTTGATCTATATTGTTATGTTACACAAAATATATAATAATATGAATAATAAGTTACTATAACGAAATACTATCAATTTCTTATTTTTTATTTAAATGCACTATAATTGCAATATAATTATTATTTCTTCTTTTATTTACACTTTTCTAGAGATCCTGGCATTGCTTTAGAAACTGAAGAAGATGATATGCAATAACAAATTTAACAAAACCTCCATTCATACATACATGACGTAGGTATGTCATGGAGCTTCGTCAAATGGGTTGGTCGTCGCAAGTTTATCGGCATACTAGTCATGGTCCAAATTACCGTCCACGCTCTTTTCGTTGTCATGGCCAACACTGTGTCGCGAATACCGACATCAGTGGTCTTGATATATATATATAGAAACAGCAATAGCAAAGGAATATCTCGCTTGTCCAAAAGGAATGGTGCTCCAAAGAAGAGCGATAGCAATATATAATATATATATATTGACGGCATTGGAGTAGATTGAGTAACGAGAAGATGACATTATGCTCATTTCTAATTTTGCATGATTAATTTCTCAGCTTTCTAAGCAGAGATCCATTAAATATTTTTATCTCAGCTGAGAAACCTAAAAAGCGTACCCCGATGTTGAAAATTAGCACAATGTCATGTTCATACTACTTTATTAACTTCAATGTTAATTAACTACAATGCCGTCAATAATCTATATCGAAAGGTAAAAACTGTCAAAAACGTGTTTACTCCGTCTATTTTTCGTTTTTTATCTTAAATACGAAGGTATTTTAACATTCTTTTATGTTTAATACGAAATTATTTTTACCTTTCTTTGTATTTAATTTAAAAATATTTTCACGTTCTTTTATATTTAATACGAAAGTCTTTCTACGTTTTGTTATATGTAATAAGTATATACTTACAATATAAGTATATATATACATTTAATTTCAAATAAATATACGTAACAAACATCTCATATATTTATTATTAAATTAATTAATAGTAATTTTACACATTACCACAAACACATTATGTACAAATTCAAATTACTTCAGATTTTATTCATTAAAAGTAATTTGTATATATTATATATGTATGTCTGTGACAATGTGTGGAATTGCTACCCTTTCTTATAACATTAAGTAGTAGAAGAAGATTAATATGCTATTTGACTGCAATATTTCTAAGAGCACACATTGCAACGTTGCTGTAATGTTTCATTGTAATATTTCTAAGGGCGGACATTTCAACATTGCCACAATCTTGCAGCAACGTTACAGGAACATTTCGCAACCGTCATGCAATGTTACAATGTTTCTGTGTAATAATTCTGCAATATTTCTGCAACATTTCGGTGCTGTATGGGAACAATCAAGCCTCACTCACAACTATGTTGTAAGAATATATGTATTTGTGATGTTGTGGAGTAACATAGAAATAAACTGATGAACAGGGATTCAGCTCGTACCTCGCAATTAGTTCGCTTTTTTCTTCCTTTATCTTTTTTCGCTCGCTTTCCTCTCCACTTTCTTTTCTTCTCTACTCTAGTGCTCTCTTTCTTTTCTTTTCTCACTCGATGTTCCGTGTCCCGCTCCGGGCGCCACGCAGCGCCACCGCAATCGCGGAGAATTCAAAGTTCGCCTCATTCCAATCGCACGCATTCTAACATTCCTATAATATGAAACTACATTTGAAATCATCCACCTCGCGTAAATTGTTGCATAAATTGCCCATGAGACAACGAAATAGGATTATAGTAAAAATAAGGCACAAATTGCGCATTACACATATGGAACACACCCATAATTCACAGCGTGTTTGAGTTGCTTGCATTTTTCACATTCAATCATTCGGTCTTACTTCGTCCAGCATTCGAATATGAATCCGTTTGTTCCTAAATAAGAAAAATGTGAAAATGTGTAAGCAACGCAACAAATATATTGGGTGAGTGCAAAAGTTCGTGCGGAGTTTGTGAGTAAAAGTCACACAGTGATTAGGCAAACAAAAATCTTTATTCAATCAATGATATATTCTCCATCGTTTTCTATAATCTTTTCCCAACGTTCTGGCAGCATACGGATGCCTCGATCATAAAAACTGCGCGGTTTAGATTCGAAGAACGAAGAGACGCCGTTTTTTAAGGCCTCCAAAGAGTCAAAGTTTTTTCCATTTAAATAATTTTGCAATGACCGGAACAAGTGATAGTCAGATGGTGCGATATCAGGAGAATACGGTGGATGCGTTAAGACATCCCATTTCAGGCTCTTCAGTTTGAGCAGCGCCTTTTTCGAAACGTGTGGTCTGGCGTTGTCGTGATGAAAGATGACTCCCTTGCGATTTGACAAAATCGGACGATTCTCTTTTATTTCTCGATTCAGATTGGTTAATTGACGACAGTACTTGTCCGAATCAATCGTTTCGCCAGCGGGGAGAAGCTCGAAATAGATTATGCCCTTGCAATCCCACCAAACAGAGAGCATCACCTTCATCGGGTGCAAACTGGCCTTTGGCATTGCGTCACCATGCTCACCTGATTGTTTCCATGTCCGTTTGCGCTGAACATTGTTGTAGAGGACCCATTTCTCATCGCCCGTTACTAGTCGATCCAAAAACGACTCGTTATTGAGCCGCCCGAGTAAAGAAACGGCTGCAGAAATTCGCTTGATTTTGTTCTTCTCGATCAGCAAATGGGGCACCCATATATCGAGCTTCAAATCGAATCCCATCTTTTTTAAACGCCGAAAAGCGGTTGATCGGTCAACGTTTAGTGCTGTAGCAACTTCTTCTGTTGAAATTCGCGGATTATTGAGCACTAAAGTACGCAAAACATCGTCATCAATGTCAGAAGGTCGACCAGAGCGTGGCTCGTCTTCAAGGTTAAATTCTCCGCGCCGAAATTTAGCAAACCATTTTTCCACAGTTCGTTTAGCTGGTGCTTCATCCTGATAAACATCCTGAATGTTTTTTACGGCTGCGGCAACGTTTATTCCCTTCCGAAACTCGTAAAGCATAACATGCCGTAAATGCACCTTATCGATATTCATTTTTAAAGTGATATTTCTCGAAGCAGTTTGTATGAAAACAAATGATTTTTTTTTTAATAACAGCTGAAGACGTCACCTTTCCAACGTTATATAATATGTAGATGGAAGTATTAATGACAACACTTTACGACGCTTATAACTCCATCTATTGAAACTCCGCACGAACTTTTGCACTCACCAAATAATATCCGAGATGAGATCCATTAAACGCTACAAATGCTTACATATAACTTTTGGACCAATCATAGCTTTCCTTTGAGTGTTTCAAAGCGTTTGGCGTCTAGGGGGTCGCATCCCAATCGAATGTCCAACATAGATTCACTACTTTAAAATTTTTCTTTTCACGCGTATTCTAAAGAGAGATCTCAGATTGGTAAAGCCATATTGCAAACGTTATTCGATATTGAGATACGTAAACAAATAAACGTACGTAAACAAATAAAATAAAATAAATAATGACAAGATCTGAATATTTCTAAAAGTATCTAAATATTTCATAATAATAAAGAATTATTTCACTATTTTATTTTGTAAACATTAAGCTAATATGATTTGCCATGTCGTTAAAATTTTGCTCGAATGTTTACAAAAATTAAATTATTATTTCACAAACTTGCGAAATAAATATTGTCATGTTGTGTCTTAACAATGTTGAGGACAACAACATAAATGCATATGTAAGAAAAATATATTAATATATATGTTGTAATGCTTACAGATGGAACGGCAAAAGCGCATTGTTCCCAAGCCATTGCGCTATCAAACAACTTCTTCTGACAGTCCAAAGTGGAGAAGGAATACTACAGCTACAGGAGCAGCAGGTGCCATTGTATCTGGAATAATCGATGAAGATATCAACGATATCAACAGAGGATGCTGCAGCAGGATAAGAATTCAACCGATTTTAATATTACAACATATATGACACACACATACACAACCATATACAAACATGCAAACAAATACGAATAATTCTTCATATACAGTATATACTTCACACACACAAACACAGCATATACTCCACACATTGAGACACACAAATATTGCACACAGACAGACACACACATACACATCACCCATAGTGGCACAAGAACATGCACAACACACTGAAAATTTCACATTACGCACTGAGTCTGACAAAATATACTATACTAATGATATTTTGTCTCAGCTGCAGGACACCTTGCCCAGGCAACAGGATGTATCTTACCAACGTGAGGAGAGCGAAGGACATGCTGTCTATCAAGCGTAGAATATCTCGCAACAAAAGGAAAGTACAGATAATAGGTATGTTTCTAATAATATATGGAATATATTCTTACAATTGGAACAATCATATAAAGAACAGTAAGAAAAAATTAGTTGTGAATAATAAATAATCATTTGTGTATATTAGTAGAATAGTAAGGCGGGTTCTAACCCAGGAGTGCTGAGGGGGACGCGGGGAACTCAGGGCGCGGGGTATGACGTCGCGCGGGGAAGGGGAACTCATGGTAGGACATCACGCAAGATGGCGACCGTGACGTCACACATACGTCACGAGAAAAAATGTATTGCGATTAGGTAGACTCGAACCCGGGCCCTCGCGGTTACTATCCAATGCTCCAAAGCTCCTAGACCACCGTCGTTTGTTGCTAATAGACATCTAGTGAAGGTTCTTAGAGTGGGCATGATGACGTCACGAGAGAAAAAATAAATCGAAATTAGGTCAGACTCAAACCCCTCTGGCCCTTCGTTTACTGCGCCATATCGAACGTCTATCGAACGTCTATCGAACGTCTATCGAACGTCTATCGAACGTCTATCGAACATCTATTGAACGTCAATCGAACATATCTCGAACGTCTAATAGCATCATATCGCAAATAAAGAAATATTTTTATGAACACAATTACCATATAAAATCCTAAGAAAGTGGATAAGGGAAAGAAACATCTGTACATTTGAAATAATGATTTATTATGTAGCGTCGTACAATTTTCTTCGAGACCACCAGTTGAAAATATTTAGTACATTCTGTAATGCGCAATTTTTCATATGATTATTACATCGAAAAGTATTATTCAATTTTTGCAGGGAAGGCATATCGTCGTAATCGGTGTCCATGGTCTTAATGATCACGCTGCTTCTCGCATTGTCATCCAGAAGTTGTAACAGCCATTTCCGCTTCTCATGTCCTTTCACATACACAAATTGAGATGCATCGTCTTCAAGCTCGTCATACATATCACCCGCCACAGCTGCAGTAACCAGATGTTTAGTTCTGCAGTATTTGACGGTTCCATCTTCCCATCGTAATCCATGATGATTAGCAGTTAACCAGTAGGCCCTCGATTTGTCCGATCTTGTGAGCAGATGCCATGGCATCGGACTCGTGAAGATGTAGTGCGAAAGAATAGTTCCGTTCTTCAGTATCGCCGCTTCTTTTACAATAAATTTCTTTCCAACCATGAATCCTTGCAAGTCGACAAATGTCGGAACATCCATGGTGAAATATTCTTCGACACGTCCAGGAGAGATGCCGTTTATAGCATTTTGTTTCGTGTAATATTCTTTTCTCGTACATACTTTCTGATGTTAGTTGAGTTTGCGCACTATGTTGGTTAGCGGGCTGTATTCAACTACAGATCGTGCAGGATGAAACAATATGAGGTAGTATTCACCGGTATATTCTCCTTACATTCAAATTCTATCCGCACATCCACAGTGGCACTCTTGACGGACTCATTTTGACGCGAACAATCGATAACCACGAAAGGACCTAGCCGCCGAAAGTCGGTAATTGCTAACCATACCTCAGCACTGTCGCATCCTTAATACGATTTACGAAAACGTCTATATATACCGTAAAGTATGGCGCATTTATTTTTTGCAAAGTCTAAATTCATGTCGTCGTACGGATAACACTCTGAATTCAAATAGAGTTTCACATTTATCAATTTGCAGTCATCAAACGAGCTATATTTTCCGACATTACATTCTTCCGGCCAGTCTGCAGCGCAAAGATAACGTATCGAGGCTTCTCCAGATTAGTAGCAGTTTTGATGATCCACAGATGTTTGGTCGTGCTTTGCAGTAGAGGAAATTCATACAGATCCCACGAGCGGAAACTCATACTCAGGTATCGTCCGTTCTCCAAAGTTTTCAGCATGGAAAGTTTATTGATATCGTTCAAGATTACGTAAAGCATTCGCCATTGTATCTTGAATAGCTCAATCTTAGGATCTAGCGCTGAAGATCCTAGTAGACTGTTGTCGCTGCGCGATCGTAATAGAATAAATTCGTGACGCGCGTTAATCACTATACGCTTGTAGTCTTCACAGAATCCTAGCAACACTCTGAGTGGTACGCAAAAGTTGAAGTATCCGTCCGGCGAAATAGTGTCAGTCGCATCCCACGCGGCATTTTCATGACAGCATTTTCGTCCGAAGACATCGATACATAGTTTTTGAGCGTTGAAGTTATTCCCACGTTTCTGTTACGATCAATCTCCACACCATCCAATTCATAACGGATCTCATCAAACATGAATGCAACGCAATTATATCCCAACGTTACAGTTGCATCATCGACTGCAACTTGTTTCGTCACCTTCCCCTCGACATAGAGATAACTCTCACATGGCAATATGTATAAATCCTGCTGCTGTATGGGTATTCGTATCTCGTCGCTATATCCAAACGTTGTGTTAGCGTATGGGTTGTACGTATGTGTCTCAATCTTGACGATGCGCTCGTCAAAGACCGGTTCACTTTCAATGTTCAAAATGTCAATCATCTTTCACAATCGTTTCGTACGATGAATCTCAGAGATTTCAAAAATTCAACGTTCAACACGCTGAGTTCCTTTCGAACGAGGGATTTTGTACTGTTAAACGCGTGTCTCGTAAAAGGTATATTTCCAGCTTGTTTCTCCTGTCCCATTTGATTCACCACAAGCATTTCATAGATTGCGTTTATTATCGTCGCCGTCGTACATGCAATCTAATGGTAATCTCTTCTGCTCGAAAATCGAGCAATTATCCTTCTTGATCAACGATACGCACCCTTAAATCTGTAATGCTCCGTGCGATGATTGGAAGGTAAATGACATATGCCGGCGTTTCCGATATCATATCCTGGTAGCACCTTAGGCGAGAATTCATGTATCGTATGTACACGCATACTGTTACTGTACGCACCACTGACAACGCTACATTCTATACGAATGATATTCACGTTGATAATCTTAATCGGTGCGTCCGATTCGTACCATTGGTGTGGTTCTAATACACGACTCGATGAGAATCCTAAAAGCGAGCCAATGTTGTTTGGCTTGCTAAAATTTATTCTATAAGCACATTTTATTTCACTCTTCATCGTATTATTATTGGCACGAATTATTATAGGATATTCATTCTCGTCATCTCTATATGGATTATTTTTGGAACGTACTGTTTTTTGAGCATGTGAAATTGCACGTTTTAAATATTCGTATATGGCGCGCAATTCGTACGATCCTTCAGGAATCGTAATTTCTTCGTCGTTAGCACCATAGTAAAATTTATTATTCGACGAATTTACATTTGATATCGTATTGTATGTTTCGAAATCCGTTAAACCAAGCTCATAATCACCGTCGCTCAAATCTATAGCGGGAAAGTAGCTTACCGTAAGGGTGCTACTGTTGCCAGTCAACGTAAACGTTAGCGACATGTTCGCAAACTGCCAAGCGAATACTGACTGCTGTGAGTGGAATGTTGTCATTTAAATCCATATCGATCCTCTACCGTTTGGAGAAACTGTAAACACAATTGTCCGCATATGCTCTGACTGTAATGTTGATAAGACGTGCGATTGTACACAATTTTCACTACATCTCTCTCAAGGTATCGAATCAATTCCTTGGGCAGTCGAAGATTACCAAAACTATCAAAATATACTGCGCGATTTCCTTTTTTCGCATATGCCACCCAGTGTGTACCTGGTCCCTCTGTGTTGTCTAAATTTACAATACCACTCTCGTTTTGACGTACTCCATCTATCGGTAAGGCGTCACGCATGAAAACACCTCGAAAGAAAGATATACGCATACACCTCGCTAGTTTTTCCAACTGTACGTTAGTCATTGCACCCATGGGTAATTTTAGTGTTTCTTTGACGTTTTTTTTTCTTTTTTCTGTAGCGCCTTTCCCGCGCTTGTACGGAGCAAGATAAATTCCGCGACCTTTCATAGCGCGACCTTCCATAGTGCGATGATGACGTTTTAATTCTTCCAGCTGACGTTGCGCGGCTTTGCCATCATTCACCGCTTTTGCGACACCCGCCGCTCCACCGACTAGTGAACCGAGAACTCCCAGTAATGGCAGAACTGTTAAAATACCACCCCGTTTTGCTATCAGAAGTGCTCGTTTTCGGATTGCTTTCTTGGACGACTTCTTTTTCTTCATGCCCATGCCGATTTTCGTTTTGACTTTCATGGCAGCCCAAACGACGGCAGCAGCCGCTCTCTCACTTAGAGTTGAATCTTTCGAAGTTATGCGTTTCCACGCTTTTACAGCGAGAATCTTATCCGCCGTGTGCCGATCAGCGAGACTGTTACTACGTGAATAGGCTATATTGTGCTCATGACACGCCGCGTCCAATAAATTACTGTCTCGATCGCCTCTGGCCAATCGTTTTGCCAAGCGAGTTCCAGGACCGCAAAATTGATATCCGGAAATGCGTATTTCGATAGGAAGCGCATTTATCGCGCGACTCAACAGGCCGCTGCCGACTTTGACTTTTGCCGAAGGCATTCACTACAGTCCCGGATCAGCGGTGCCGGGCCATCGATATGCGTTCGCTGCCACGGACGATTGTAATGTTCCAAACATCGACGATACTGCTGAACCTCTGGATCGACTCTTATATGTTCAGGGAGTCTGTCTCACAAATCATCAATATACTTTGCAAAATCGCGTAACAAAACAATCTTCGGTATGTATTTCAACTGTTCGGAGGTTAGCTCTCGAATATCACGAGTATCTGTCAGAAGGAGCAACATTTTCTAAACTGAGCGTTTCCAAGATCGGCGCGTCTATATATAGTTCAATCGCAATGAACCGTTAACATAATCAATTTTGTGACTCGTGGGGGAAACATGCGGTTCGTGAAGCAACCGCATGTGATGTCGATACGTGTGACAAATTTCGACAATCGAACGCAATCAATGATTGGGCAAGAGGCGCGCAGGCATGGAAACATGCTTCCAAACACCATATACGGCATCATATGCGGTACCTCGAATTGCGGCAAGACGAATGTTCTCATCAGCTTGCTGGAAAGTCTGCACGGTCTGCGTTTCGAGAACTTGTACGTGTATTCAAAATCGTTGCAACAACCTAAATATCGCTACTTGGAAAATTTGTTGAAACCGATAAATGAAATTTGGTACTTTACATTCTCCGATAACAGCGACGTGATTCCAACGACCGAAGCGCTCAAAAATTCCATTTTTATCTTTGACGATGTGGCATGTGACAAGCAAGATACGATAAGAGAATACTTTGCCATGGGTCGTCATTCGAACGTTGACTGTTTCTATCTCTGTCAGACGTACACAAAAATACCCAAGCATCTTATACGGGACAATGCAAATTTTCTGATTCTCTTTAAACAGGATGATACCAACTTGAAACATGTGTACAACGATCATGTGAACACTGACATGTCATATGAGAATTTCAGTGCATTGTGTCGCAAATATTGGGAGGATAAATATGGTTTCACAGTGATTGATAAGGACAGCTCAATGACCGACGGACGATACAGGAAAGAATTTAATGACTTTGCTATGCTGTGAGATGCTCAATCGTCGTTGCAACCTCAACGTGGTAACATCTTCAACGTCCACGAGACAAATATATCAATGATGAATAGTAGCGTAAAGATCGAGAATCGTGGAAAGGTAGCGGAAGAGATTGCGAAAACGAGCGAATCGATCCGCAAGAAGTATCGCGTTTTGAAAACCGGTAGAATTGTTGAGAATGCTGCATTGGAGAGACACTTTAAACCTATTATTAAACCTCTCAAGCAAACCGCGGGAAGCAGCGCTAATGTCGAAAGTAATGTTGATGTTAAAACTGAGCCACTATCAATAAGTACAAGCGAAGAAACAAAGAGTGTATTAAAACCCGAAAAAAAGATAAAGCATAAGGCAAAACTTTCACCAGTCGCATTGACTCCGCTGAAACGGAAGCTATTCAAAGATCCTCCGATAGTTTCTACATCGACGGAAGCTCTACAATATGAAGAACCATACGAATCTTCACTGATCGACAATCTACTCACTGATGATGATGATGAGAATGTTTCTGAAATCCCCGATGAACCGGTAGTGACATCCGTTAGACGTCAGTTGCGAGCGTACAAACAAACTTTACATGATTATTTTGGTCCGTTGGGTCAAAAATATATGGGAGCTGTGCTAAGTAGTGGAAAGATAACACCATAAATTATGTTTACGACGTACGTCTTAGTAACGATGGAGCGATGCTCGGTGATAAACGTGTCGATGTGGACAGAGACGATAATATAATCATAGGCGAAACAGGATACATTGGAACACCCAGTCTTTACGAGCTAATATTCAAAAGAATCCCCGACGATTCTGTGTACACCGAGGCTGATATGCAAAAATACAGAAGTATACTATTGGCGACGAATGCTCACAGACGCGGGTACCTCCCGCAAAATCAGATACTCGGTAACAAGGGACACAAATATAAACATATAATCGCGCTCCTAGTATCACATGCGTCGAGCGATAAGTGATCGGAAAAGGTTTATACGCATCGCAAGCTATGATGACCTTAAATGACAACAATATCGATTACGTGCATTGGGATGATCCCAACGAGCTGGTGGATCGTCTGCGATTGCTTGACACTTCGCGTCAAGCCAGCAACAACGCTCATGACAACGAAATTTTATCGATTATCGAAGAACTCCGCGAAGCTGGTCTTATTATAAATTAAACAGCGCTGCACTGACATGAGTCAGTCAGTCAGTCAGTCAGTCAGTCAGCCAATCGGTACCTTCGCCAATCGGAAGCCTTCAATGACGCTGCGCACAAATATTATGTGGATGAGAGTATAAGTCTGTAAAACTTCTGTTGCATGAAAGTAACGTTGAGAAGAAGCAGTATATCGATGAGAATATAAATGCTGTAAAGCTTCTACTGCATGAGAGTAACGTTGAAACGAAGCAGTATGTAGATGAGAATGTTAAAAAATTGAAGGATTGGCTAGAAGACTACCGGAAGAAAAACATACAGAGCATGAATAGCATTCATGAGAACATGGACCAAATTTTAGACTGGACACGCTCAGAGATAAAGCAATCAAGGGAAATATAAAAGTAGAATATTACAGTTAAATTGACATATAGTATCGACATAAGCGAGAGACGGATCATCACAAGCTGCAATGGCAAAGCAATCATCAAAATTTAACAAAAAGGAGAAAAGTTCAGAGAAGCAGCTCATCGGTAACGAAAAGCATCGGTTGGTGGAAGAGTTGCACGCTCCAGCGAGAAGATATTTTCCCCGTAGACGCGTCATAGTGCGCAGATACGATGATCTTTGGCAAGCTGACTTAGTAGAGATGCGTCCTTACTCGCGATTCAATAGAGGCTACCACTATATACTCACTGTTATCGATGTGTTGAGCAAATATGCGTGGGCTGTACAGATGAAGAGCAAGAGCGGTAAAGAAGCAGTGGCAGTATTCACCAGGATATTTCAAGAATCTGGAAGATGTCCGAAAAATTTGCAAACGGACCAGGGAAAAGAATTTTATAATGCGGATCTGCAGAAACTCCTTAAAAAACACGGTATCAATCATTATTCTATGTACACGGTAATGAAGGCATCTATTGTGGAACGATTCAACCGCATGTTAAAGAACGACATGTGGAAAATGTTTACGTTGAATGGAACATACAAATGGATCGACTCGTTACTGCGCCTTATCGCGGAGTACAATACACGGAAACATCGAACTATCGGCATGACCTATCGACGTGACACCCGAGATCGCCGATAAGCTCCTACACCTCCTACAATTTACAACAACGTAAAGATCGCTGCGCCTGCGAGATTCAAAGTGGGTGATCTGGTACGCGTGAGCAAATTCAAAATCATCTTTGAAAAAGGCTATACACCGAATTGGACAACCGAAGTGCTTAAAATCGTCAAAGTGCAGACAACTAATCCAGCGACCTATCTGCTTGAGGATTCTCGCAGAAAGTCTATTGCCGGAGAATTTTACGAATATGAACTGCATCGCGCTGCTAATCCTGACGTTTATCTCGTGGAAAAGATGTTGCGAAAAAGCGGCGACAAAATTTTAGTGAAATGGTTGGGATTTGACGACTCGCACAACTCTTGGATACACAAAGAAAATGTATTGCAACCAATTCTTTGTTATAAACACTTTTTATTACAATATCCTATTATAAACAGCTTGTAATAAACCATCTTTTATTATAGTTAACAATATTTCTTACAAACAAATATATGTACAATGATCGCTTTTCATTTTACAATATACATGTATGCACAATGATCGCTTTTTTTTTAGTTTACAATTGTATCCTGTAATGTCCCCATGGTAAAGTGTCTGTTGAGTCTGGTACGATATACCGCTTGTCATCATACGGACTCAGAGCAGTTTTCAGTTCGGACACGGTGTAGACTTTGTGCATTTTAGATGGTATACATGACTGATGACGTTGCTTTTCGACCTCGTCTCTCAGACACTGCATATAATCATCAAACGTTATAGTTCGCGCTACGACGTTGGTCTTGACACCTTTCGCCTTCTTCGTGTCATTTTTGCTGTCTACCTTCAGCGCGTACATCTTTACTCTGAGTCCGACGAATTCCGTTATATTCGCTCCGTTATTTTCATCTTTCATCAGACCTGGTACCTTTTTGTTGGCAAGCGGTATACCGTACGCGTTATCAGCGGGATAATCACTTGTATCAAACTTAGAAATATCGCGTTTCATGTCCTCGAAAATATCATTGCATTGGATATGATAGATTAAACTGTGAGTATCGGTGTACATTACTTTACATCTGTTCTGATACAGGGGAGACATGTACTCGTGATGAAATTCGTAAAAGCAGGTCTTGGATATGTCAAGGATACACATACCCACATAGATCGGCTTGTTGAATTTCACCTCGAGTTTACGTAGCTCAACGGCGATTAAATTTTCCGAAAAGACACTTCTGCTATGAAAATTTGGTCTCGCGATCATTGCCTCAGCACTGTATCGTCCATCCCATTTTGTCAACAGTTTTACGTCTACGTGATTGCGAACGTTTTCCATGGTTTTGCCGAATACCGCGTTGTTCATCAATTTGTACAAATTTTTCTCGAAATTGTTTGTCGCACGTGTTCTAAACTGCGTATTAAGTTCAATATAATCGCGGAGCCATGGGGATTGAGCAAATTTGAGTATGCGGTGTATCTTTCCAATACGAAGACCGTGACGCGTGCACTGCTGCAGGTTGCGATAATGAATCACATAACGCTGCTTATCGCATAAGGTTGCAAGAAGCTTGTCCTCCTTTTTATTTGGCGGTTTGCCCCGCGTCGGACAGAACAGTAGGTCAGCGTGCGCGTCGTGCAGACGTTGCGGATACTCTAAGTCAACCTCCAGAATGTAACCTATAGGTGAATCTAGTGCGATTGATGATACGTCGAAATTCGATACATCATCAACCCCTCGAAATTCGGCGTATGGCAACTGTTGACACATTGCCCAACCGTACAAATTATTTACATCGAAGTACATCAAGTATGATGATGGCTGCAATGGATCGTAAGACTGCATGTACTTGTTATTAGCCTTTGCGTATTTACCGGAACATTGACTGAGACCACCGCGAATAGCGCGCTCGATGAACATGACCATATCGATATCAGTGAGCAGTTCGAAATTAACGCCCGTATGCTTCAACATAGCATCCCACGTAAAACCAGGCAAAGTATAATAATACGAGGGATCTAACCCATAACTTTTGATACAACTATTGCGGAAATTTTCAAAAGTATCGGCCAGCACCAAGACATCAGTCTTCAGATACAAGTCGTTATATTCGCCCAAGGTTTGAATGGCAAACCGTTGTCAGATGTTCGCGGCGTGCGCGTAATCGCTCTCACAAGGGGAGGATGCACCGACCGGGAAACGGTTTGGAACTAAACTTACGGAGTTAATAGTACTTGACTACTAATAACTCATGGTAATAGCATACGACGCAATACCTCTTCGTTTTCGAGAAAAAAACGGTCTAAAGAAAAGAGCCACCAAAATGTATGAGTTAGTAAGAAGGGTATTCAACGAAGCGGCATAGCGCAACAGCGAAGGTAACGAACTACCGAGCGGACGGCTGAGGTTCGATCCCTGCTGTATGGTTTTTTTTTATTCTGTAAGCATAAAAATGAAACAGAAAACATTAATAAGTAATAAAACTGCGTTTCTTAAATATATTAGTGTTTGTTAAATATACTATTAATAATTTAAATTGCAAAAAACCGTATATCTTATCTATAAAATATATAGTGTATGAGAAAATTTTTATATAATAATTGCAATGGAAATAGGAGTAAAAATATATTATATTTTCGCTGGAGGATTTTTCGATAATAATTTATTATTCTCGTAAATAGAATTCATATATACGAGAACATTAGTGAATTTACCTTTAAAATCTTCATTTTCAAAAGATCTTTTTTCTAGCGATTCTACATCAACTATTTTGCTTGTTGAAGGATTCTCTGACATTGTTATGATATATGTAATTTAAATATGATCACCGAATTGCTCTGTATCACTAGTAAACGCACACTGCTGCTTGCTCTACTGACAACTGTTCCGATGCTCGAATCATTTCGTCATTCTTAACGATCGTTTAGAATGACACAAAGGAAGTTTTTGGAGGGGGATTTCCAGAAGAGAAAAAGACACAACACAACTTCAACACAACACGACTTCAACACAACATAGAAAGAGTTGTAATAGAAATAAATATTTTATATATACGATACAAGATTACGAAAAATTATCTCATACTAGTTTAACCCTTTGCGATCGGCCGATTTCGAAGAGATCGATAAACATGGATATCTGTAAGTTGATCTAAACATTTGAATCTAGCACTGGGAGGATAGTTTTCTTTCATTATCGCTAGCCTCATTTGCCGTGCCGCACGCCAGGCGATCATGAATGCCAGCCTGGCGGCATTGACTTCTACGACGACTTGCGAATGCCGCCACTGTGGCGGCATCGATCGCAAAGGGTTAATAGCATTCCTATATATTTCATAACAATATTTTTATTCCTATTTCCATTGTAATTATTATATAAAAATTTTCTCATACACTATATATTTTATAGATAAGATTTACGGTCTTTTTGCAATTTAAATCATTAATAATATATTTAACAGACACTAATATATTTAAGAAACGCAGTTTTATTATTTATTAATGTTTTCTGTTTCATTTTTATGCTTACAGAATAAAAAAAACCATATAGCAGGGATCGAACCTCAGCCGTCACCTCGGTAGTCCGTTACCTTCGCTGCTGCGCTACACCGCTTCGTTGAGTAACTTTCTTACTAACTCATACACTTTGCTGGCTCTTTTCTTTGGACCGTTTTTTCTCTAAAACGAAGAAGTATTGCGTCGTATGCTATTACCATGAGTTATTAGTAGTCAAGTACTATTAACTCCGTAAGTTTCGTTCCAAACCGTTTCCCGGTCGATGCGTCCTCCTCTTGTAAGATACCGTGTCACCCGTCAACGAACTGTAAAATGACTCGCGCGGCGGTAAACATCAATCCTGCAGCTTGTCCGCGCAATCAAGATATTCATACGGAAAAACACCCTTTCGCGTCAATAAATCAAAATCCTTGTCGGACAAAGTTTGAAAATTCGGACTGAAAAATTTTTAATTTATCGTTGTCGAGAAAAGATGCCAATTTATCGAGACTAGTACTAAGAAATTTGTACGAATCGATGAACCGCAATTGTATACAATTTTTCCATTTATTCTTACTATCCGTCATGTTTCCTACAGTCTTTGTAAATGAAATATATTTCTCTTTGGTTATCGGTAGTACAGTGATTGAACCTTCGAACGCGGTTGCTATATCTTTGATGATAAAGTGTGAATCATAATCGGATAAGCGATTGTGAAAGACCACGGGAATGCAATAACTGTCTCGATAATTTAGATTGCAATTGGAATGCGCGGGACCTCTGTACCGTCCAGTCAGGTGGCAATGATCGGGCACGCGTGTATCATCCTTTGCGAATGATTTCTCGCACACATGGCACAGCATAGCGTTTCGAAATGTTTCCCACTGTTCTTTCGACAAAGTTTCCATGGGGACATTTGCGGACAAAATATCCTTTACACGATGTGCCAGTTCTTCAAGTTCTTTGACAAACCATGAGATGCAATCCGAATCGCGACGACATCGATACGCGGATAATGACTCGTCGTAGGAACATCGCACGTAATATGCTATACTAAATACGCTATGATGTTGATACGCATACGAACTCGTTTGTTCTTCCCTCGGTGTCTTCTCCAGAATGCATTCCAAGTCGGCGTAAACTATAAACGGGATCCGCTCCTTCCTGCAGTAGTTGGTGAAGCTGAGCCATTTGTTGTCATCGTTCGGCAGGATGACGGCGCAGTCATTCAATTTGCTACAATCTATAGTATGACTCTCCAGTTTTTCATTTGTATGAAAATAATGTAAACAACTGTAATGAAAAATGATTATTATGAGTTTTTTCTTTATAGTGTATTTTTATATATTGTATTCATAAAATATCATTCATAAAATATCCTTACGGATCACATATATATTTTTTGCATTTCTTTTTATTTAATTGTGAGCTCACAAGGCAAGACAAATTCTTAATCCACATGAAGTGTCCCACGTTGTGGTCTTATGGATCTTGCATATATAACAAATTTACATGCTTTTCCTTCTCAATCAGCAAAACGTATCGGAACGATCGTATATGATTTTTCCTGCTTCTTTTTATCTTGTATAGTGTATATGTTGATAGAGATATCGTTCAACCATTCAAACTTTTTAATTTGGTTTATGCGCATTGGAAATTCAATGTCCTGCATATTCAACACCGATGTATAGTGTGGGTACGAAGATTGACGATCTGCGTGTTTGTCAGCTGGACATAACGCTGCAACCATCGCCCATGCGAAACATGCATTGTCCATAGATTGCACGTTGATTGTAGCCCGCTTCATTTTTATTTCGCGCGGTAACTCGATATGATATCCCGCATGCAATAGATTGTACTTGTTAACATTAACGGTCAGATCGAGTATGCGCGAGAGTGCCCACCCGCTATCTCGTTCCTGGAATTCTTCCATGGACGCTAAAGTGGGTTCGATAATACATGTCACGAACCAATTGTCTAAATCGGATGTAGGAAGAAGTCCAATGTTCCTTGTATTGATGCTCTTGTTCGCGCGTTTATCACCCGCCACAAATTCACCGTTGAACACAGTGTTCACTTTTACGCTACCGTGTCTCTTCATAACGCTTCGCACATGCTCGAGCACGATATTCTTCACATCTTGGAGAAATCGAAGAGGGTCGATATAGTCTGTATTTACCAGGTGTACAAGTATGAAGTGCGGATTTGAGACAACAGATGGTGCGCCAATGCAGCATTGAGTATAAAAATTTTACATATATGCCATTTTGTTGTGTATCAACAAGAGTCAATGCCCACAAGTGATAAGTTGAAAAAGTGTTTGCATAGTATTGTTTTGCTGTGTTCAATACGTCGAACTTTATGCCAAATAAAGAGCATTTGCGAACAGCATTAATTTTTTGTTTTCATTTGAAGAAAACAGCTGCTGAATCATACCGATTACTTCGAGAAGCTTATAGTGAACATGCTCCATCGCAAGATGTGTGTGAACGATGGTTTCAAAAATGGTGATTTCGATGTTGCAGACAAGGAACACGGAAAACCGCCAAAAAAGTACGAAGATGTGGAATTGCAAGCATTATTGGACGAAGACGATTCACAAACACAAAAACAACTTGCAGAGCAATTAAACGTTAGTCAACAAGCTGTTTCCAATCGCCTACGAAGATGGGAAAGATTCAGAAGGTCGGCAGATGGGTACCACATGAGCTAAACGAGAGGCAGATGGAAAGGCGCAAAACCACATCTGAAATGTTGCTCGAACGATACAAAAGAAAGTCGTTTTTACATCGTATCGTTACTGGGGATGAAAAGTGGATATATTTTGTGAATCCGAAGCGCAAAAAATCATGGATAAACCCAGGCACACCATCCACATCAACCGCAAGACCGAATTGCTTTGGTAGGAAAACGATGCTCTGTGTTTGGTGGGACCAGAAAGGTGTTGTTTATTATGAGCTGTTACAGCCTAGTGAAACGGTTAATATCAAACGCTACCAACAACAATTGATCGATTTGAACCGTTCGCTACTCGCAAAACGACCAGAATATCGACAAAGGCAACACAAGGTAATTTTCCTCCATGACAATGCTCCATCACATACGGCAAAACCGGTTCGTGACATGTTGGAAGCACTCAACTAGGAAGTGCTACCCCATGCGGCTTACTCACCAGACTTGGCTCCTTCCGATTACTACTTGTTTGCATCGATGGGCCACGCACTTGCTGAGCAGCGCTTTGGTTCATTCGAAGATGTGGAAAAATGGATCGATGAATGGTTCGCGGCAAAAGGGGAAGATCTTTACTGGCGTGGTATCCACAAATTACCCGAAAGATGGGAAAAATGTGTAACTAGCAATGGAGCATATTTTGAATAAACCACTTTTTATCATTCTTCCGAATTTAACGTGTTTTTCTTTGGAAAAAAATCCGCATTTCATACTTGTACACCTGGTACAATCGCCCCGGTTGATATGCGACTATTGAACGCTCTATCGATTTCTCGCCTAAAAAGTTCCGAATGTCCGGCTTCTGCGTATACGAAACATTTGCGCAAAGTATTTTTTAAACCCTCGAGTTGCGCTATGCGAGTAACTATCGAGTGTGCTGAACTAACCGATAGCCGTGGCTGTTTGACTCGGCTATGCTGCTTCAACGACTCGAGACACTCATCGCACTTTTGTTCCCATGCGAGGTATTCGTCTAGCGAGCCTAATCGAGCGGCTTGATTCTGCAGCTCGTGTTCTACGGATGATAATGATGATGATGATTCTGCCATTTTTCTAGCAAACGTTGTAAACACACTGTAACTGCGCGCTCTGCTCGTCTTCGGCTAAACTATAGAATGTTCTGCTTTGAACATTTTATAGCCCTTCATTCTTTCAAAAATACATGCCGTTATTAAAATTCGGGGAAACTTCTTCGGCGAAATTTTAAACACATTTCTAGGTCTTAAACTCATATCGACACGTTATGGACTTTGTATGCCTAAGTGCATGCTTAAGTGCACGCCTAAGTGCATGCCTTTCTTTATCTGATACAATAATAGGTTTGTAGACCTATGATTTTGGTATCAGCAGTCTGACGTCAACGACTGGCAAAAATATTTTGGTTAAAATGTGATATTGTAATACGTAGCAACACTAAGTTCTTCACAGAATGCACCCTATGCTAAGATATGCATACCTTTCTTTATCTAATACCACAATAGTACTTGTAGACGTACGATTTGGTATCAGCAGTCTGGGGGGTCGACGACTGACAAAAATATTTTGGTCAAAATGTGATATTGTAATACACAGCACCATTATATTGCAGCGTTTACAAATTGTAATAAAAGTATAAATATTGCACATTTCTGTACTACGTATTATTTTCTGTCGTACTGCGATGCACCATGACTGATATTATTTCATCGACGTATGACTGTTTAATTGACTGGCTACAACGCTGTGCCAGAGAATTATTATCTAGTTTCAAAAGATATATTGATATGTGCATTAGAAATGTTGAGAACCCTGAAGAAAACGATGGAGGAGATGCAGCATTGTCGATGAAACTTGCCTGTGTGCGTGCGTGCGTGCGTGCGGGGGGGGGGGGGGGGGGGGGGGGGGGGGGGGGGGGGGGGGGGGGGGGGGGGGGGGGGGGGGGGGGGGGGGGGCGTGCGTGCGTGCGTGCGTGCGTGCGTGCGTGCATACGTGTTGAGAACTCTGAAGAAAACGATAGAGGGGATGTAACATTGGCGGGGGAAACTCAGAGGAAAACTTGCCTGCGTTAAAGAAGCTCCTGCATAGTGCTGCATCAGTCGCTCTGTAAAGACACGGTTCGACAGTCGCTCTGTTAAAAGACAAGGTTCGACAGTAGCTTCCACAAACAGTAAACCAAAATGTCCGATGTCGAAGTGAATACTGCACAAGCAAATTATTACACGCCTGTTCAACATGCAGATGAGGATGAGGATCACCCCAGGTGGAAACAAAACGACGAATGTTTCGAGGAGCCACTATGCAAAATGGAACGTAAGAAGTGAGTATCAATGTGAATTTGGCTGGTACTTTGTATGCACTTTCCCGACCGAATTTTTTAAATGTATATAACATTTACATTGTATTTTTATAGCATTCCTGAGCCATGTCATGCTATTCGCATCTTGGAGCGCAGATATGCTTTGACTGCAACGTCTCATAAGTATTTGGAAATTGGACTCAATGTGCAATATCGACTCCATCCCGTCGTGGAAATAGTCCTCGGTGACAATCGCGATAATGAACTAATATTACATCCAGACACTTGGGGAAAACTGATGGAAAATCGTAGTGCTGTATAACGACTTCTGGAAGCGCGCAACCCATACTTTCCGCAACGGATTCAAAATTTAGGAGTGAAATTGTTCGAGCTAAATAGTTCAAAAATTGTAAAATTAATGCAATCTTCTAAGTGTTTGTATTTAAGTCCTGCTATAATGAACAAGTTATTTACTTATGAATATTGCATTGATCATATATATACGCAGTTGTCTGAACAGTCGTATCTGCTTAAATCAAGAATTCTAACTTTTGTAAAAGTTCTTCAAGAAAAAAAAATTACCGAAATGTGCTATGCGGTAAAAGCGATACGTGAAAGCGCTGCCTTTGACGGTGAGTCACTTATTGATTGCGAGCTGCTGGCATGTGCTTCGAAAGATATCTTGCACGAAGCTATGAGCTGTTTGGTATTCTGAGAAATAAATTACTTTGATATATATTATGATACATTTTTTTTACTTTAGGCCACATCCTTTCTTCCAAATTTCCCTTATACCCTTTCTTAGGATTTTATATGGTAATTGTGTTGATAAAAATACTTCTTTATTTGCGGTATGATGCTTATTAGACGTTCGAGAGATGTTCCATTGACGTTCAATAGATGTTCGATAGACGTTCGATAGATGTTCGATAGACGTTCGATAGACATTCGATATGGCGCAGTAAACGAAGGGCCAGGGGGGTTTGAGTCTGACCTAGTTTCGATTTATTTTTTCTCTCGTGACGTCATCATGCCCACTCTAAGAACCTTCACTAGATGTCTATTAGCAACAAACGACGGTGGTCTAGGAGCTTTGGAGCATTGGGTAGTAACCGCGAGGGCCCAAGTTCCGAGTCCAGCAGCGTCCCGACAGTTTTTTCTCTCGTGACGTCATCATGCCCACTCTAAGAACCTTTACTAGACGTCTAATAGCAACAGGCGACGGTGATCTAGGAGCTTTGGAGCATTGGATAGTAATCGCGAGGGCCCGGGTTCGAGTCTACCTACATCGCAATACATTTTTTTCTCGTGACGTATGCGTGACGTCACGGTCGCCATCTTGCGTGACGTCCCACCATGAGTTCCCCTTCTCCGAGCGACGTCATACACCATGCCCTGAGTTCCCCGCTTCCCCGCGTCCCCCTCAGCACTCCTGAGTTAGAACCCGTCTTACTATTCTACTTATACTTACAGGAAAATAGAAGAACGATTGAAGATTATGGAGGACCGATTGAAGGTTATGGAGACAGACATGAAGTAAGTAATTCGTACATCATGATTATCGGTATATGTAAAGTATGTCTGTATTTGATGTTTTTATTTTCAGGAAATCGCATGGATTGTTGCAGAAAATATTGAAATGCGTCCAGGATCGCCATTCTGCGCCACAAAAGCCGGACTACATTACCCATTTCAACATTACAACGGGATGGACGAATTCGAAAATTTTACCGAAGAAGATTATTCCGATGTTGTAAGTGACATAAATACCTTGCTGTTAGAAAAGAAATATTTATACATTATATTTATTGTAACTATTTTTTTAGGTTAATTATTCTCAATATGTCGGTGGCTTTCACTTTAAGGAAGCCATCAACCTGTGTTTAAAAGAAGGCTTATCCGACTCGCTGACACAGTCGTTTACATGGTTCGGTCGCGAGGAAGGACGATGACCGTTGTACAATACTCGGCTGGTCCAAGCGATTTATGGTAAGACATTTTTGTAATGTTATACAGAAAAAGAAATGTTAATAGTTTATTTATAATATACCTTATGCTTCTTTTGCAGATGCCTTGTGCTAGAACTGGCACTTTGACTGACCACTTAAATCAGAATTCCAGATGCAGATGCCGGAATCTTTGCGTGTAGCAAAGGAGAGACATCGGAACAGGATGCGTGGACCATGCAGACGAAACATCTGCGCAGAAGCGGACCATAATTTATGGAATGACAAGCCAGACGAGGGCGACGTTGAAACAAGTGACGACGAGTAACAACATTATTTAAATGTACATAAAAGATGTATAGATATATATTGATGTATTGGTACTTTTATTGTAACAGTTATACTTTTCCTTGTACATTATTTTCATACATGCTTCATCCGTAGGATCTAGATTGTCTGATGCAAGTCCAATGGAACAACGCAGGGACAACGCGATGAAGCAACGCAGGGAGGACGTCCAGGAAGGTGCAGTGGAGGAACGCAGGGACGGAATGAGAAGAGGAAGAAGAAGGAAGCAGGAAGAGTTAGGGGGAGAGGGGGAGGAGAAGGAAGAGAAACCGGTGGTTGGTTTCTGTCTGCGTCGTCAGACGAACCGGCACTTTTCAGTGCCAATTTTGATGCTTCAAACGTGGGAACCTGTCGTGTTCGAAATATACGACACGGCGCTTTTTAACGTCGCACCGAGTACAATAAAAGCATCACATTTCGTTCAACATACGACGATATGCAATGGAAAATATTTTCTTCTTTTTATAATTACAATGACACAAATTGGATAATACAAGTTGATAAATTAATGTGTATGTATATTTTTCAAAGCAAAAAAAGGAGAAAGAGAGAGAGGATTCTATTTCTTTTTTACTTTGACAAATATTCATACGCATTAACTTAAAAACTTCTATTCTTTGTATAATTGTGTTATTCTAATTATTCAAAATAAATTGCATATCAAACGTACATCAATGTGGATGTGGATTGGCCGCCTGCATACGAAATGATCTGCTGTATGTTGTGTTGGAGTTCGTGCCTGGTGACTATTTCACATGCAGTTACGAATCAGCGTTCAGAATATGAGCTAAAAAGCAGAAGACGTTGGAAGACGCAGAAAGACCTGATTTCCTTTACGTACCAAGTGGCATGAGGGATGAAGTACTTTGCCACCAAAAATTTCCTTGTCACAGATGAATACATACCTACTGAAAATTGCTAACGGATGAATGGTCCTGGTAAAGTGAATAGCGCCGCAAGCTCTCGTTCACCGTGTTTGCATCACTGAGTCCGACGTGTGAGTAATTTAACCCACTTAATTCTATTAAAATAACTTGTATTAACGAAATTAACGTTTCGAGAATTGATGAAAATCGTTTATGATTAATTAATTTCATTCCACTCGGTAATCACGTACCGTTTGTTTCTCGCTGTTCACCACCTGTTACCACCATTTCTTCTAGATGGTAGAAGAATATCTTGTGGCAAATCATGACACTGAACGGGACACCTTATCCTTCTGTAACGTCGATCAAGAAACTATTGGGTTGGCAACTAAGTGATTGCGGATTTTGTCAACAGATGGATTTTATACTTTCTTTTGTTTCGTTAACGTGTTCAAAGTACCTAACCTATATTTTTTTCTTATTGTTTAGACTTCTACCTTTCATTTAGTACAAAAATTATATCGATTAGTTCTTTAGTTTTGTTTTTATCCCAATTTAAAAATGGAAGAGCAAGACGTGTACTTCAGACATATTTTATTGTATTATTTCCGAAAAGGCAAGAACGCATCGCAAGCACACAAGAAGTTATGTGCCGTATATGGGAATGAAACCTTGATTGAAAGAAAGGCAGTGTCAAAATTGGTTTGCCAGATTTCGTTCTGGTGATTTTTCATTGAAAAATGCTCAACGATCTGGCCGTCCAGTTGAAGTCGATGAGACCCATATCAAGGCCATTATCGATTCAGATCGTCATAGCACAACACGTGATATTGCAGAGAAGCTCAATGTATCGCATACATGCATTGAAAAAAATTTAAAAAAGCAAATTAAAAATTTTGAATTTTCATTCTTATTCAAAATCCGCAATCACTTAGTTGCCAATCCAATATTACTTTGGACCAAACAATTAAATGGAGAAGCTGCTTTTGCGCACAGGCCACACATGTTATATGGTGAATTATATATAACATATATCTTGTATTAAGAGACAAAATATCTTTAAACTTTAACTTGTCTTTTTTTTTCTTTGCAGCTTGTGAAATTGTTATGTAAAGTGTAGTCAGGATATTCTTACAAGGTTCACTGTTAATTCCACATATAAAAGCTGAAGAAGGAAACAGCGTCATAGAAATGTCGGAACAACACAACAGCATACTCAGCACGCATTGAAGACATCTGTGGATTTTCAGGCCAGTATTTATCCTTTGTATTTCCTATGTCTTTTGCTTATTCCTTTTATAAAAGAAAACTGATGTTACGAACACAGTTATTCTAGATCATACATAAAGTACATTGCCCACTAACCATCAAATAATACAACATAACATGCATGTTATGTAACCGTTATATTGTTGAGTGAGAATTTGTAACGTTTATGTAATATAACTGTTACTTGATGTTTACTGAGCGATGCAGGTAATGCTGATTAATAAAGTAATAATACAAGTACAAAATCGTAGCATATCATATACTTGAATATTGTAACAATTGTTAAAAATACTTAATTTTGCATGCTCTAGAATAACTATGTTTCTCTTAATATCAATCTTTCTCACAAAATAAGTAAGTCGAAAACATAGATTATTCTTGCCAGAATCCTTCACTATCCAGGAAAAGGCGGTATTAAGATATTATCGGATCAAGATATTTATTATATAGTAGATTTTGCAATACACGACATAAGTTCAGTTAAATCTGGCCTCATTGGTGGCCAACGGAAGAGCATTATTTTCTTCTCTAAAGTTTGTGATACAAAGAATATTTTCAAATTGAACGATAAGGTAAGGTGTGTTGTAAATTTATACATTTTAAACTGATGGTTTGCTCTCCTTTTTTCGGAAAGATATTATTGTCTCTTTTTAATATTATATACTTGATTTGCAAGCGATACTTAATATTTGTCGAGTACAACTTAATAAATTGTGCTGTTGAGATATCAATGATAAATACTGCTGGTGATATTATTCTAGGTTTAAGTAAAGAAACGGACAAGTTTGTAAAGACTTTTTTACTGCTCTAAGGGATTTGGTTTTACTGAGACAGTGCATCACAATCAAGAAATATTTTTCCACTATAGGTAAGATTTGTATTTTTGTATCGTGATTGCCATAATGTGTATACACGTGACATATTGAACTTTTTAATAATTTGATACGTAATAG